AGTGGGAAACGCCAAGAGGCCCGTGGTCTAGGATTCACATAGACTTCACGGGGCCAACCAAGGGACACATGTACCTTATCACAGTAGACGCTTACTCCAACTGGCTGGAGGTAAGCACCATGAAGTCGACCACAACAGAGGCAGTAATAAAGAAACTAAATAAACTCTTTGCCACACACGGCCTTCCAGACGTGCTAGTGTCGGACAACGGGCCCCAGTTTGCCGCACTAGCATTTGAACAATTCTTGGCAGGCCAGGGAATACACCATGCGCTTACCGCGCCTGCAAATCCGGCGGCAAATGGGCGGGCGGAACGCATAGTCCAATACACGAAGAAAACCATCCAGAAAATAGAAGCAACCAACATACAGGACAGAATTAATAAAATGCTCCTCATTCAACACATCACACCTAGCGCGACCACAAACAGAAGCCCGGCAGAACTAATGATGGGCAGGAAACTACAGTCGATGCTTGACAGAATGCACCCAACATATAACCCGGAAAAACCTCCGGGTTCCTCCAGCAAACTCAGAAAATATAACATAGGGGACCCAGTATATGCAAAAAACCTATCAGGGGAACCACTCTGGGTACCAGCAACAATTACACAAATAACCAGCCCCCTATCATACCGGTTAGAAATAAGTGACGGAAGAAACTGGAAACGACACAGCAACCAACTAAGATCAAGAACAACCGACACCCATACACCCGAGCAAGAAACTAGAAGGGGGGGGGAAACTGCAAGCGTTACGGAAAGAGCCGAAGGGAACCTCCTAGCGCAAACAGAACACCCCCCACCCAGAACAAATAACCCACAAATAAACCGGTCCTACTCACTAGTAAATGCAGGACACGAACTGCCGGAAGCTACACCTGGAAGGAACAGCCAAGCCAGTTCAACCGGCCCGGAAAGATCCGGCGGGAACATCAGGAGCGGCAGCTCAACCAGCCCGGGTAGACTGGGAGGGAGCTACCAAGAAAGGCCCGGCTCACCCTTCCAGGAGATTCCATCCCAAGGAAACAGAACAACAGAGAACCCCTCCGAACCGGTCGACGACCACACTAGGACTGAACCGCGCAGGTCAACTAGGCAGGTACGAAGCCCCGCCTACCTACGCGACTACGTCACGACGCACCGACAGACGAAACCAAGAGGGGAGGGGTGTACGATATTAGCATACTCCAAACCCTCCAAACTGATTGGACCAGACGGACCGCGACCTGATTGGTCGAAACCCCGGCCGTGATTGGAGCGTTAAGAATCTACCGCGATTGGCTGTGCCGATCACAGGAGATTCAAAGCGCTGCCATTGGCCGCCGAGCCGCAGCGAGCCCTATATGAAGGGCTGCCGCGGCTGGACTTTTTTCAGACTGTTCTTATTCTAAATAAAGAGCTGAAATCACTAAGATGGTCTCGCGTCTCCTTCGAACCGATCTGCACCCGATCTAACATTTACCATTCCCATGTATCTTTGTATAGGTATTAAAGTTTTTAATGCATCTTTCTGCATTTATTTCAGCACAGCCTCCTATGTTAATTTGACCTACTATGAGTTTGCTTTGGAAACTAAACAATAATTATCTAATTCTCATTTTTTAAAATATAGAATCTTGAGGTTGATAGCAGCAAGAGCCAAAATGAGTAGAATTGTCTAGTCAGCCATAAAGTGTTTCATTCATTTCCTAATTTTGTTTCTATTTTTTTTATTTTTAGAATAAAGGTCTCAAGCAACTTTTGTTTGTTGAAACAAAGGCTGGGATAAGAAAGGAATTAATTTCTTTAATATTAGTACACAGTTCAGTGTTGTAACATCCAGTTTTATTTATGAGAGTTGCTAAACTGATAATTACGTTATAACATAGGAGCTGGTATTTTTGTTCTGCCAACTCACAATCAGGCTACATCTAACACCACTTTGTTTTAACAAAGGAGGTACCAATTTATTCGAGAGAGGCTTTTACATGGCAAGCAATTATGAAGAGAAATTCAATGAAAATATAATCAAGAGGTGAATGAATGAAAACAAGCCTGTATGCTCTAGCAACTGCTGGTTGGTAATGCTTGACCATTACTTCTTGACAGGATTAGTGTCTTTCTAATCACTCTAATCCCCTCTGATAGGTCCATCTATAATCCATCCATTTCAAAGCAATATCCAGATGGCTCTTGATGGGGGATGGAACAGAACAAGCTGGAGAGGCATGAGCTGAATCGGTTTATGGTCAGCTCCTTATGTTTCCCTTTTCCAGAGTTATTACATTTGAGGCTTCCACCATTCAGAAATTGAGACAATGAATTAAGTAGAAAGCTATCAGCACAGATGAATTCAGATAAACCTAAATTTCCTGTACATGTACATATTAGGTTTGTGAATCTTTTAGCTAGTTTCCTTGCCACTATTCATAAAGAATGGAACAGTTGAAGGCAACTGAATTAAGTTGTCTTAATGATGGCTGCTCTGGAAAATGGTTCAAACTGACATTTGGTTGATATTTTCACTTGCCAAGTTCCAGACACCTTATTTAGCCTTATGGCTTAGACAGGCATATTATCACCATTTTAATAATTTTTTGCTAGCTGACATGCTGAAAGTATTGAGCTTATCTTTATGAAGTCTTGTGTGGGTTCAGCTCCACTTCCATCTTTTCAATAACTACTTGAAACAAAAGGGGAAACTATGGGGCAATAGCTTCTACTTGACTTCCAGAGTTTAATGTAGATCATTTCTTCTTTATGCTAGTATTGTCTGTGTATAATTCTAGGCACTGTAAGAAGTAAATTTTGTAATGTATGTGGTAGACAAAATTTATATCTTTCGCAATAGGTTTCATTATTTATCTTTGTTGTT